TTAAATCTAGCATTTTCCAAAGGTCATCATATTTATACTCGTGAACTTTACTATGTAGAACAAATGACGTTGTAGATATAAAATAGACGCAAAATTTTAGCAGTAAAAAAGAAAACTTTGAAATTATTTAGCAAAAATTCTAGCGAGAAGACATATTGATTGATTAATATATTTATAGTTTTGATTTGACCTCATCTTGACATTTTGAAATCACTGACTAATTCGTCTACGTCTTTAAAAAGTTATCCAGCCTTCTTAAAAGAAACTATTTTCAAAAAATTTGCTTAAAATCGTCATCTTTCCATACATTTCAATAGTTAAGCGTAAAAAAGTTCTAACAACAATACCGCGTTTACAGCATTAAAACTACGTAGGCAAATCTAATAAAAATGTAAGATAAAACGCTGTGAATTCTAAGGCACATTATATCACATTTTCAGGATATGTTTTCTCTTAAGAATTTTTCATGCAGTAAACCCGCGACCTACCTTAGTCTAAGATATATGAAAGTTTTCTTTATCAAACAGAAAGCTTTCAATTATTATTCTATAAAGAAAAAAAATCATATATTTAGCTATTAATAGCCATTCTCTGTAACCACTTAAACTTCGTTGCCACGCATGGTCACCGATTTTGATGAAACTTCACCCATGCTTAGTACTTGACACCAGAAACAAACATCAAACAAAATTTCGTTGCTATGTGTCTCGGTTGCTATGGCAACAGCCGGAAAAGTTTGAAAAATCGAGATTTTCAGACACTTTAAATCTTGACTGTGGCTTAATGAAAACTAGATAAAGCAAACAAACCATTCTCACAAAAACATGACACCTTGATGTCACTTATACTGTAAAGAAACTGTTTAGAATATATCTCTAAGTAAGTGGTAACCAAGGGTACATTTGGAATACATTTAAAATGCTGAAATATGCTGAAAAACACTCCGTATTCACTAATGGTAGGTGTTACATGCTCAAACTCAATCATCGACTTAAGAAAAACAATGAAGATGTTTGACCTTAAGTATATAAGTTTAAGCAATATTATTCTATAAATAACTTTTATGGTTGCCATGGTAACACAGTGTAACCATGCAAACCCAGTAACTAAGATTGGGTTAATGCTACTATCTTGAGGAAAAACATGAAAATTCAAGACTGTCAAATATGCATCCTTAGGACCTTGCAACACCAAAACCGTAAGAAAAATTGGGTATAATTGCTACTTTGCAATGTTACCATGGAAACAAAGTACCAGTGCTTAAAAGTGAATAACTTTTCGCTGCATTAAGAATTAAGTTGCCATTTAATCAAGAAACAAATTAAAGGACTCAGCTTGAATAGTACTTATCTGTTAGAACTGAAGTTGAATATCATATATTGATAAAATTTGATGAATAAAACAACACTGTTGCTATGGTTACCAAGAAGGGAAAAATGTTCAATTTTGTGAACTTTATATCAATGTTAAACCCTGTATGCCAACTTCTTGCATCCACTTAGAGATTGGATGATAGTCAAAATTAAAAGTCAAGTTAGCTGTTAATAAATATAAATCATAAAATTTTTGGGAATCTACAATTAAGGGTACGTATACAAGGAAAGAAAATATTTTTCGGGATTTTAAGCATATATTTTCTGCTTATTTCCATAGCAACGTTCTATTTAAAGAATCTAATCTGAATTTTTTCAAATGGGAAAACTTGGAGCACACCGACATCTTATAAAATTGATCATTAGTCATGAGGAAATGTGCTTTTTTTAAAAGACAGGATCAGATTTAAACATACAAAGGTTACTTTGAAGGCTCTCTGTGGTATAAAAACCTTGGCAACCATTGTCAACCAAAATGAAATATCATATTTTGTTCTTAGTATATGTTTCAAGCCTCTTTTTTCTATTATTTGGTCACATTTCAACCTATAATTGCTTTTTATTTTTACGTGTATGACTTTATAAAATTCAATGAATATTTTTTTTACTTTTGAATACTTTGTTACCATAGTAACGTGTGTAGTAGTTGATTTACCAGACATGTTTATCATTCATGTGAGACATCTGACCTTCAAGTTTTGGAAACAGTCATTGCCAATTATTTGCTTTGCCGCAAATGTTAACTATGGGGCTCTAAACATGTTAAAAAATGCCATTTTTCGAACTTTAAGACATGTTGCCATGGTAACTATAACACATAGCAACCAATTTTTACCTGATTTCAGTTTAGGGCATCAATGACTTTTATCATAGAGAGTTTGGAGAAATTCTGAGACTATGCGTGCCACAGCTCCTATATAAAATTTCAAATCATTACAGAGAATGGCTCTTAAATTTTATTAGTGTTCTTTATCTTTATATATCTGGGGCTCTTCTTTTAGAGGAAAGCATTGTGGATTTATTTCTAGAAGGATGGATGTACCAGGGGATTTTTATTGTTTGGTTTTTAAATTACTCCTTTCACAGACCATGGTCTGAAAATCTTGAATTTGAAATACACACACTGGATGAAAAATACAGTTTCCGCATGGCTGAAACTCTACTGAAACTCTGCGGAAACTTAAGGTTACTAATAGTTTCTGCAAAGTTTCAGTGCGGAAACTTCAAGTTTCATCAAGTTTCCGCAGTGCGGAAACCAAAGGTGTCCACAAATCCAAATAGTTTCCGCAACTGAAACTTGCTGAAACTTGAGGTATACGCAAGGTTTCAGTATGTGTTTACAATATTGATATACATAGGATATACTATAGGTTTCCGCAATGGAAACTGTAGTATTGACTACACAATTTAGCCCTGGTTTTCAACCAAAAGTCATTTTCCCCCTGAATTCTCATATTGGAAAAAACAACAACACACTAACACTAGTTATCAAAGAATATTTAATGTTATTATCAACATTTACATACATCGGGTTGAACATTTATTTTCTCTTGCATCATAAACATTTTTACAGCTAAGTCCGAGCCCTCAAGTCACGACAGGAGGACAGAGAAAATGACTGCAATTTAATAATGATGTCTCATACATCAGAGATATAATCTTGCGAGAGGAACTTAGAACTGCATTACTGCAATCAATCAACTAAACCTGAATTCGGTTTATGCAAGTCTAGTATTATCAAGGAAATGAAAAATTACTTGGTATAATAAATGCACAAGTTCACATCATAAGTAGCCAATAAGCACCAAGGTGTATTCCTTTGTTAAAAATTCAGTTTGTAGTCCATCATCAACAGAAAAGTCCTTGAGTGGTTTTCCTTTTTTGATGACCCACTTACACTTATCCTGCTTATGCTAGTGGTGGTTGCATGTTTTCGGAACTGTGCAACACATCACTGTAGTCTGCATGTATGACCTGTTCCAGTTTCAGTCGACTTTAAAAATATTAATGCTTGAATATAGAGAGACTTGTTTTCATCATTGGAGAAATGATATCATGTTCAACTTGGATTGATCTGCTCATCAGTTACATCAACCTATTGAAAATATATATAAATATAGTTTAACAAAATCCCAATCTAAATAAAACAACATGTTAGATCCTCTTGCATACTCGCTACACAACATCTAACAACATCCCATAGAAGGTCACGTCAGATGTCAAATACGGAACAACTCTAGAGTTATTCGTTCCAGTATATGAAAAACAATAATTTTGCAGTTGACTATTTGATTGGTTAATAGAATTTGACCTCTGAAGTGACACTCTACAGGATGTTGTTAGATTTAGGCAGTATCTAACATTTAATATTAATTGGATTGACAAAGTCCCTAATGCTGTTCTAGTACAAGCCTTTGTTTGCTTAAATTCACATTTTAAGCATTTTTTTATCAGAATATTTAAAATGAAATCTAAAAATTTATCAAGTGTAAAATATCATTAGTTTATTAATTAAAGTTGCCTCTTTTAAACACTCGACTAGGGATAATGAAATAAACAAACTTGAATTTATTTAAATTTTAAATGTACCTGAATATGTATGTATAGATTTGTTCCTGATTTTCAGAATAAATTAAGGAATTTTCTTTCATTCTACTTGTTCATCAAAATATTTTTTAATTAGATTAACAACTAGAGGCCCATAGACCTAATAGGTATCATGTAAAAACTTTCACTTCATTGAATGTGGTTCGTGTTTTAAACAAAAAGCCATGAAATTCAAATTTTGAAAGACGCACCATTGTTTATCATAATTATACACTTAGCATGCTTACTTTGGTTATTCAATACCCAAAGGTGGATCAGAGTAACAAAGATAAAATGCAATTCCATTTTAAAACCACCAGTTGTGTACCCCACCCCACAAGAACCACTAACCCTGGGGCCACACATTTCAAATTTTCTAAATGTTATCTAAGTTTTATTTCATCATAAATGGTTGATTAATTCCAAAGAGCTATATGGACCAACCCTAGTACTAGAACCCCTGACCTTGGGGCCATGAATTTCATAATTATGGTAGATGACTCAGTGCTCATTTAGGGGCGTCGGCAAAGGGGCAGCAGGGGCGGCGGTCGCCGCCCCAATAATTTTGCAAAAAAAAAAAAATAGTGAGATTGTTTTTCTTTTTAAAATGATTTTTTTAAACGGCGAAATCTGCTCATTCGAGCGGCGAGTATAACGGCATTCTGCATGTTCTGTGGTCAATGGAGCGGCAAAGTGTGTACAAGCTATTGTTTACACAGACGTCAAAACGGGATATACATACATGTCTATATACCTGTACCTGGCGTGTGTACACAACTAACAGGGTAGTCATTATGATTGCTGTAAGTGCGGGTTTGCTACAAATTGTTCATTGTCCAATTAATTGGTCGATCGATGTTTGGAAGTTTTGATGATTCAACATGATTGCAAGTCATTAAACAATTATCGAAAATATTACAACGTATGAGCATATTAATTAAAGGGGGAAAACTGAAAATTAGTTAAAATCACTGTCTAAAACAACTTGAGATGATTTTTTTAAAAATATTATTACACTTATTCCACATTTCAATTTCAAAAATGGCCGGGTTAAAAAGTATTAATCAACCTGTTAATTTTAAATTTCCTAAGCGTTCTTTCGGCAAGAAGAATCCAGAACTGCGTTCATTCAACCCCACTTGGTTTAAACAATACGCATGGTTACATTATGACGAAGTAAGTACATTTAAAAATATATATTTTTTATCTTTTCAATGATATTTTGAAAGGATACAAATTTTAATATATTGATTGTGTTGAAATCATTGGTTAATGTACAATGATTACACTTTAAAAGAGAAAAATCGATTTAAAAAAAATAATATATTGAAATTAAATTTGTTCTTATTTTCAGGCAAAAGATCTGGCTTTCTGTTTCACCTGCATGGTTGCTGCAAAAGAGGGCAAGATTTCCAACTTCAAGGCCGACGGCAGTTTTATTTCCACGGGATTCTGTAATTGGAAGGATGCCACTTCTAAATTCCGGAAACATCAAGATTCCGACTGCCATAAAGAAGCCGTGGAGAGAAAAGTGAAACTACCACGAGAAACAAAAGACATTGGTGAAGTTCTCTCAGCCGCCCACTCAGAGGAGAAAGCACACAACAGACAGCAGCTGCTTACCATTCTTCGCAACATCAGGTTTCTTGTTAGACAGGGATTACCACTCCGTGGCCATGACAATGATCAAAGCAACTTTCTACAGCTTCTGAAGCTCCATGGTGAATCGGATCCATCAATCCTCAAGTGGCTGGAAAGGAAACAAGACAAATTTACATCAGCAGATATCCAGAACGAGATGCTACAAGTGATGGCCTTAAAGATACTGCGTGACGTCGCTTCTAACATCAGGGAGAACGGCTATTTCTCCATCATGGTAGATGAGACAACAGACCAGTCAAATCATGAACAAGTTGTGATTGTGATTCGTCATGTTGACAGTAACCTGGATGTGCACGAAGAGTTTATCGGACTGTGTATGGTGCCATCTATCGATGCTGCAACACTAACTAATGTGATTCTGGATGCATTGGTGAGGATGAACATTTCCTTGAGTAAGTGCCGTGGACAGTGCTATGATGGAGCCAGCAATATGTCCGGAGCCAAAAAGGGTGTGGCTGCTAACATCACCAGCAAAGAGACGAGGGCTATCTACACGCACTGTTATGGACATGCACTCAACTTGGCAGTTGGTGATACAGTGAAAAAATCAAAGGTGATGCGTGATTCCTTGGATACTGTGTTTGAAATGTCCAAACTTGTAAAGTATTCGCCCAGGAGGGATACCATATTGGAACAGCTAAAGCGTGAGATGGCACCTGATACGCCGGGATTCCGTGTGCTATGCCCTACTCGATGGACTGTTAGAGCTGCCAGTTTGAACAGCGTTCTGGAAAACTACTCTGTCCTTCAGTCCTTGTGGGAGACCTGCTATGAGTGCACAAAGGATCCAGAAGCCCGTTCCAGGATCATCGGCGTAAAAACTCAGATGCAAAGTTTTGACTTTCTCTTTGTAGTGTCCCTTGGATACGAGATTCTACGTCACACAGACAATCTTAGCCGAACACTTCAGAAGAAAGACCTGTCAGCTGCCGAGGGCCAACACTTGACAGACCTTTCCCTGACGTCACTAAGTGCAATGCGAAAGGAAGAGTCCTTCGACTCATTCTGGGAATCACTTAACGGAAAACTTAATGAACTGGACGTCAGTGAGCCCACATTGCCACGGCGAAGAAAAATGCCCAAGCGATATGAAACCGGAAAGGCCCCTCCAGAATTCACCACATCAGAGAAAGACCTCTACAGACAACAGTACTTCGAAGCTCTGGATCTTGTGGTGAACTGTGTCAAAGACCGTTTTGATCAGCCAGGCTATCAAGTGTATCGCCATCTAGAGGACGTTCTTCTGAAGTCTGTGCGTGGCGACAAGACATACAAAGAAGATTTGGACTTTGTCTTAAAGTTCTATGGAGATGATCTGGACAAGACCTCTCTTTCTTCACAGCTGGATACATTTACAACGCTCGCACGAAACAACTTAAATGATTCCTCAACTGTGTCCGTTTCCTTTTTGGTGACCTTAGTGTCTCAGATGTCTCCAGCTTCCAGATGCCTATTCTCCGAGATTGTGACTCTACTGAGACTTATTTTAGTGATGCCAGCCACTAACGCTACCAGTGAGCGAACATTTTCTGCTTTGCGTCGAGTAAAGACTTATCTTCGTGCCACTATGTCCCAGGAAAGGCTGAATCATTTGATGATCCTGCACACGCACAGGGAGGCTACAGATGCATTGAACATTTTGGCAGTTGCTAACGACTTTGTGTCAGCACGGGATGGACGGAGCTTCATTTTTGGACGCTTTTAAAGTGCAGTGACATTGTGTATTATTTAATGAACAGATTTCATTTATGTAGTGTTTATTAGTGCTTATTAATTGATTAAAATAATATTTATTCAACTACTTGCTTCTCATATTTGCTTATAACATGACGTAAATAAAATCATATAAAACGATTTTGTTTTTTTAATCAGGTGGAGTCTTTGAAACATTGACAGAATGGGAAAATATATCAATATACTGGTAGAAATGTGAATTTAAGTAAAAAAACGTCAGTTACCCCCCCCCCCCTTTTCAATCTAGTTCGCCTCCCCAATGTCAAATACTTGCCGACGCCCCTGTCATTACAATCATGCCAACAGTTTGACTGCTTGATGTCCAGGAGTAAAAAAGAAGGGGGGGGGGTATCATAAAATTAACAAATTTTGTTCCCCTTCACCCAAAGATGCTTTGTACCAAAATTGGTTGAAATTGGTTGAGCGGTTGCAAGGAAGAAGCTGAAAATGTTCAAATGTTAACACACGACAGACAAAAACAGATAGTAATAGGTCACCAGAGTTTACTAAGGTGACCTAAAAATAGGCCTGTTTATAAATACTTAAATTTAAATAAATCATAGAATTTTAGTGGGTTGCTCGCAAAATGAGACTTTCTAAGAAAATGTTAACATCCATTAATTTGATGGAAATGCCGAACATATAAAGATTATATAAAGCTTAAAAAGTAGAGAAAAGCAGCTTACCCCCCCTCCCCCCCCGCTCCCCCACAACACACACACACACACTGACAACCACTGACTATGATAAATAGAGAGCTTAAAATTAAACAGTGGGATTAAGAAAACAATAGAAAATAAAAACATAAACTTTGTGCTTTAGTCCTTAATTTCCTAAAATAGAGTTACATAAGTTCTTACTACTAAAACATACTTTTTAACAGAGGTATTCTTCATCCTCTCTTATTTTTCAGATGATTTGTTCCATGGATATCTGAAATTAAAATAGATCGAGTTAGTACAGTACCGTACAGTAATAACTTTTTTGTTTTAGCATGAGCTCAGAAAAGTCCCAAAAAACACTTGCATGTCCATTTCCTTGCACCTGACATGCAGTGAAAATTCTAATGGACACATGACAAAGAAAAAAAAATGATTGGAAATTGTCACAGTCGCACTCTGGTCTAATTCTAAGTGGCAGTCCTATCAGGATATCACAATCTCAATTAACAAGATCTTGAAATGCAATTATATCTGAGAGTGAGAAAAATTAAATAAGTTATAATTTTCCATAAAAGCAAGACTACATCTAAATTGTGTAAAGTTTAAGATATGTAGGCCTTCTCCATGTTCTCCGATTCAAAATTATAATTCATTTGATAATTTATTTTATTTAATATTCTATTTTACATCAAGGGAAGATCATTTGTATAATAAGACAGAACTAGGACTCTTCAGTGGCCATTGTTGAAAACTGATTTAATTAGTGATAGAAATATGGCAAATGGTAAACAGCTATAAACAGAGAGATTACAAAAGTCTTATTTGTGTATCAGTCATTTTATCAAGTCAATAAAATTTAGAGATCATAAAAGTATTATGTCAAATTTTCATAATGGGTCACATTGCCTGTGGTTAGAGCGACACGCCTAGAGTTGGGGAGTAAGACTTAGAGCTGATTCCAACATTACGGGTCTGAATCCAATGTAGTACATAGAGACTGGTCCCTCGGATGAGACTGTGTTGGTGACGTGTCCACATTAATAAAAAGTTCTCTACAGGGTAACAAATAAATACAAGTATATGACTGTATAATGAATCAATATATGTAACTTAAGAAATTGAAAATGGCCAATTGCCCATTTCATCAAGCTCCAGTCTAGATCATAATACACACTTCAGGTAAATACTGTTCTGTTTATATCTGATCAAGAGAATCATTTTTATGGTTGTGATTTCTGATGTATTTAGAAACTGCACCACATTTAATACAAAAGGTACAATAAAAACATGGTATTTCTAATGAACAATTACACCATGCACACTACCGGTAAATCAAGTTTTAGGTTGCTAAAATAGTGTTAATTGTTTCATATAGATCAAAACATGCACATGTGTCAGCATGAAATTACAATTGATCTCCTAATTTAAAATAAATATCATTTTAACATTTTACGTTTTAATTAATCATAATTATGCCTTGTAAGAAAAGATGTTTATGTATCTTTGTGTATAACTATTTTGTTCACGTACGACAATGTTTCAAAATCATAATATATGGTATGAAACTTAATAAAATACTTCAGCTTGAATAATGTGAGGCATTCTGAAAATTATCAAGTCACTTTCCCAAAATCTATCTCACTATCCCAAAATCTGCATGTTCTCAGGAATTTTACTTTCATGACTATTCAACATGTACAAATTGGCATTTCACAGTGATACAATACTACACAATGGCATTCTCCCAACATGATGCCCACGCAGTACAGTTAAGGCAACATTTTCTATAAAAACTCACGGAATCCGATACATATAATGTTTAACAGTTTTATTTTTTAGCAAGACACTTTAGTTAAAACAGCTATTTGTGATCTTGAAGAGTATGTCCATCGCTTTTCACATCGGTATTTTTTGACATCATGTGACCCCCTGAAGTCACGTGGGCTCCGATTTTAGGTCAAAACATGAAATGTCAAATTTAACCAAAAAGTGCAAGGGCAAGACAAACAAAAAATTAACTGCACAATGTTTTATGTTGTCTCTATGTATCTATACTTTCTCAAAAATGATGCTCATTCAGTTAGTTTTCCGATATAATTAAGTTATTCAGCTAAAACAGACAGTAATGTATGAAAAATAGGATATTTTTCTAATTTCATCACGAATAATAAATTAACTAAAGGATTACAAAGTAATGAGCATCACTTTTTGAAAACTATACAATAAAATAAATAATTTAAAATAAAAACCTACTTTTTAGATTGTCGCCTTGCCCTTGCACTTTTTGATTAAAAAATGAAATCTTGGAAGAGTCAATCTAATTATAGTTTTCAAACGCATCACTGACCCAGCATGGGAGATAACTCTGGAGTACTTGATATAGTTTGTTTACCTCGTAAATTTAAAATAAATATACATGCGGGCAGGACTTGACTTTTTTTTAACTTAATCAAACGGTATGCATAAAAATCCTTGAATTTCTCTCTTTTCTGTGTATTCGTTCTCAATACGTTGTATACATTTAATGTCTTTCAAACCTCCCGCATTTCCTCAACGATGTAGCATTACATTTATTTATATTTATGCGAACACAAATGGTTTATTAAAATACAGCCTTCATTAATAACTGATTAGATATCTATTCCCCTCTCTCACTACGCATAGGCGTCGGAACCGGGGAGGGGGGGGGGGGGGGGCTTAGCCTCCCATGTAGGCATTGGAATTTGCTTTTTCTTTTGGCTTAGCCCCCCCCCTTTTCAATTTGCTTCCGACGCCTATGGTACACACACTTGTGTTAATATTTTTTTCTTTCTGCATACTGTATTTGTTAAGGGGACAGCAATTTTATTTTGAGGGTGAGGGACTGGCAGATTTTAAAAATAAATACTTGCAGATCAGTGATCCCCCCTCCCACGAATCAGAGTTTTTTAAATTTTTTTTTTTTGCATGTAGGATTTTCAATGAAGAGGAAAATAAATAATCTGTCCTTCATCTTATTGATCGGAAATAAATATTAATCTGTCCTTCATTGACATTAAAATTAAAAAAAAAAAATCTTACTTGTAAAAACTCGCCTGCCCCCCCCCCCCCCTTCCCTCAGAACAAATGGTGGTCCCCTATCCTATTTTGAATCAATTAACAGTCTCCTGTTTTTGGTAATATTATTGAAAGATAAATGAACACAATATATAAGAATGATCAAGTCCACACAACATTAAGAAAGTTAAGATTTTCATATCTTAATAGCCTTTTCAACACATGTACAGTAAATATATGAAAAAGTCAAATTATTATTTAATAAACATTTCTTTTCAAATCCAATGACAGACTGTAGGAATGCTGGGCAGGTGCAAATTTTTTCCATCACCTCATGTTCTTGTGGATAAAATGAATTCTGAAAATAGGAGAAAATCAGGAAATACCATTATTGAAAGTAATTTGTGTTTTAAAAAATGAAATTAAAAAATGCATGGAATCATTTAACATAGAGTTTACATACATGTGTAACGTGAAGCGGTCACCCTTCCAAGGGTTAACAGGCTCGCCGTTGCTTAACTTGCCTGAAATAGAGGGAGACGCTACCGCATCACCAGAAAAGCTAGCTCACTGGCGAGGCAGTGTAAGTTCCCTATATACTGTCCGCTACACATGAATGACATGTTTTCAATTCTTCTGTTAGTTTTATTATCAAAACTTTGTATATAGTTTATAGCTTATATTGAGCATACCTGATTTTCCTTAAATGGATTAACTTGCTGCCTGAATGAATCCATTTGTCCAACATCTGGGAATAGCTAGGCCTACAACACAATATATATGCAGTTATATGCTATGAGATTACTAAATATACATTGTAGGATAAAATGGCATTACATTTGACAAAACAAATTATGCTACATTGTATACTGTAGTGAATTTATGTTACTGATATAAATGAAAAAAAATGTGTTACAAAACATCTCTGGGAAAGTGAAACCTCTGACATTTACAATAGTTATTGATAGAATATTTACTATAAAAAAAGTTTCTCCTTTACCAAAATGAAAAAAAAAAACAATATGTAAAACACATGCAAACTTTGAAAATGTGAAATGCTTTAGAAGTATACATACCCTGTGGAGAAATGATGCATTTATTATATATTCACTCTTTAAGCCTGAAACTCTGGACAGCTACAATGATAAAAGTATTATATAAATATTTTTAATGTACATGTAATCTAAACAAAAAATGATTTTTTTTTTCATTAATTTAGAAATTCTAGAAAATTACAACCATAGATCTGAAGTGGGGTTTTATGTTTTAAACA